AGAAGTTTCTAAAATAACTTCTATTGATAACACAGGCATACGTTTGCTCTACTGTTGATCCCGGCACAGGCTGTTATTATGGCTGGCAGTAAACTCCTTTCTGTTGGAGAGAGTTCATGGTGGTATTGTGATGAGGTCATTGATCTGTATTAATAATTCTTTCAGTTGTGGGTGGGAAGGAATTATTAACTGACTTTATTTAGGTTATTGTAGTGTGATTTGTTTTTAACTTTTGACAGGGTGAGGGAAAGGTTTAAGAGTCTTACTTTTGTTATTGTTTTGTTTTATTATTCTTCTCACTCTCAACTGTGTTCAGAGCCCCTTTGACAGCAGAACCAAGCTCTTGTTCACATCACTGATACAAATTTTGACACATGTTGAGTCAACCCTTATAAACTAGGTATATTTATTTATTTCTATTCCTAATGATATGGAGGTTTTGCAGAAAGTGGAAACACTGAGTCAAGTTAATGAATCCTGCTGGAATCTATCTTACACTTTTATAAGTCTACCATTTGTCCATGCATTGAATATTGCTGCCACACCTGGTATGGTGTGTCTGCTATATACAGTGTGCGATGGATAAATTGTCATCTAAATTATGCAAAAATTAACACTGACATCTTAATTTGACAGATATATTTGCCAAATTACATAAAAATAACTTGAAATACTAAAGTGTAAATTTATTCAGTAAAATTGCCATTGACTTCAACCACAGCCCCCAGATGGCTTGGAATCTCCTGCAACTCTTCTTCTATGGTCTCTTTGTTTAAATTGGTGAATGCTACCATAATCCTTGCCTTCAGTTCATCTTTGGTGTTACAAGGAGTTTTGTTGGTCGCTTGCTTAATTGTGCCCCACAAATAATAATCAAGGGGGTTGTAGTCTGGAGAGTTAGGCGGCCAGATGTAAGGGGTGATGTTGTCATAGAAATTGTCTGAGAGTGATGACTGGCCTCTCCTACTTGTGTGGCATGGTGCAGAATCCTGTTGCCAGACATAGGTTCTCAACAATAAATTTGGTAGTTCTTTTCTTATTAGAATGAGCTGAGTGAGTTTTTCAAGTTGCCGTACCTTTGTAATCACCATTAGACTCATCCAACTCTTTCCAAATCCTCTGAACTGACCTTAGATTGACACCCAGACAATGTGCGTATTGGAACTTCTGGTGTGAATGCCAAGCAGTACAACATACTGTTTTCAAATTTCTGACAGAGTGAATTGCTTCATGATGCTTTTTTTCTTACAGATGGTGCCCAACTGACCCTACTAAACTGTACAGTTGACAAAATCAAAAACAACATGCAAGCATGAAATTAGAAATATAAAATGGCGACAATTTACCCATCGCACTCTGTATTTAGAAGAATCTGCAATGTTATTGGTCCCGACCTGACATCTCAGCTTGTGTCACATTTCTTCTGCCATAATGTAGCTTCCTTTTGCTTCGTCTATAAATATTTTCATCCTAATTGTTCTGATAAGCTTAGCCTAACTTCATGAATTTAAGCAGAGTACTAGATTGGCAGCTAGGTCTCATAATTTCACTTTTGAAATTCCTACTTGTAACCGTAAGTTCTATTCTAATAGTTTCTTCTTTCACACTTCTCACTTGTGGAACTCTCTTCCTGCTTTACTCTCATCTACAATCTTCAAAGATTAAAATTAATTTAACTTAAATGCAATGTCAATCATCATCTTCTTTCTCTTTCTCTTGTCCTCTCTTCTTTTTGATTGAAAAAAGCAAAGAGGACAATAAAAGACCAGGATTCAATCCTAGTGACTTTATTATCTGGCATCTCAGCTTCAGTCACTCACCCACCATCATAATGTAACTTCCCTGTGCTTTCTTTTTATAAATATTTTCATGGCAAATATTTCGATAAGCTTTCTTCTTTGGTACCTAGACTTTATACATTTAAGTGCAGTATTAGATTGGCAGCTATGTCTCATCATTTTGCTGTTGAAATTACTAAATGCAACCATAAGTTCTATGCTAACAGTTTCTTCTCTTGCACTTCTCACTTGTGGAACTCACTTCCAGCTTTTTACTTTCCAGTCAAATATTATCGTCAAAAATTTAAATGCATTGTCAGTTGTTGTCGTCTGTTTCTTCAGTTCTTGTTCTTTTATCATTGACCTCTCTCTTTAATGTTTTTTTTTTCTCAATTTCTTTCACACTCAGTAACCCCCTGTGTTTTAGTGGCTTTATTACCTTGTTTGGGATGAAATGATTAAAATGTTCAAATACTGGCATACTGATTTTGCTCATATTTTGTACTAATGGCCTTGGAAAAGGCAAGAATACATTTTCCTTTAGTTTAGGATTAAATAGCAAACCAATTTGAGCTCTCTTCCCTTGTGTGGCAGTCAGACTTGGAAAATAAACAACTGTGAATTTAAAGTCATTGGTAAAATCATCTCTCCCTGGGGAGAGCCATGTCTAAATATACATACTTTCCCTAAGCTTTGACAAAATTCCAGAGAGATTAAAGTCATCATCTTTTGTGCCATATCTCTTCAGGACCTAGGCAGTCATGACATCTTCCTGTCCCTTGTAATTCTCAATAAGTTTTGTTTTTTTGTTATTTCTCCCAAACCATGTTCTAACATCCATTTACTGAAGCTCATCAAGTATGTTATGTACTGCTTTCTTCTGTCCCTCTTCCCTTCAGTCTGTCTTGTGAGTGTCAGGTTTTCCAAGCCCTCCTTCTTCATTATGTGTGCCAGAAATATGAACTACCTCTTCCTGATGTTAAATATAAGTTTTCTTTTTGTTTTCCATTCTCTCTAAAACCTCGTCATTGCTCACATGCTCAGTCCATGGTATCCTCAACATCTTTCTGTAGAACCACATTTCTGTTGCTTCAAGTTTCTTTTACATCTTTGAGAAAATTGTCCAGCATTTGCTGCTATACAGGAGGACAGATATCACATAAAACTTCAATACTCTTTTCTTTTGTTTTTAATAAAATTTTTCAGTCTCTTGATACTCTGCTTAGCTTTTGAAATGCATATTTGGCCATCCCAATGCGTCTTCAGATCTCAGTGTCACACTTTCTGTACTCTGTTAGAAAACTTCCCAGAGGTTAAAGTGCCTGACATTAAAACCTGTGCTCGGTTGTTTGAAGATTTGTAGCATATCATGCACCATTTGAAAAGACTTACTGGTTCTGAACCAGCCTTCATGACTAGATAGGGATTACTAACTACATAGTCTGCCAAGATGCCTACGAAGTGATTCTACCCAGGACTATAAAAGGAAGGATACAATCTCTCTTGCTCATTTCATTCTAGAATGTGGATGGAAGAATGTGTATCCAGTCTTCCTTTTTATTTTTGTAAAATTCTCTGTTGACCAAACTATATATGCATTTACTATAGTCAAATTAGCTTCAAAATTAGGTCTTCAAAGCTCATATGATAGGTGAGTGATTGTGTGTGTATGTATATATGTATGTGTTTATTTATTTATATATTTATTACTTAAACATTATTTTTAGTGGATACTCATATCTGAGATGATGCTCTGTTTATTTATTGAACAATATATTTGGAGTACTGCTGCTAATAAAATGCTTAAAATAAAATAAAATTTTTTAGCATTATTTTAATAGCAGCAGTACTCAATGTAATATATATATATATATATATATATAAACAGAATTACCTGGAAGCCATCAATGGTTGTGATAGCACAGAGTTACAAGTCATCATGACTGAGAGTTTGAGTGTACTGAGTTTGTTCAAACTGTTGATCATGCCAGATAATACACTCTCTCCTGAAAACTCTAGCAAAGGTCTGCTCAGATTAGTTGCAGCATAAGTCACAAGGAGGCTCTGTGGGAACAAACACACATGTCTGAACAGGCATCTGCAACAGTGATTGGATAGCCACCCTAGTGGACAGGCATACTAGGATATGAGCAGACAGCCATATATATATATATATATATATATATATATATATATATATTGTTATGGCCCAGTTCCTTGTACCACAGTGATAGTCCAAGGTAGAACCAATAAAGAAGAAATCGAACACAGCTATGGAATAACACAGATATATTACAAACAGGAATATATACAGAGAAGTAGAAAGTGTTAGTACGAACAATCAGGTTTAGTAGAGAGAACAATGTAGTCTTGACCAGTATCACTATTCCAATGTCTTGCAGTAATTGTCTGAACGTGACTCTGTTTCGGACTGCCTCTGACTCGACTTGAACTACTGACTCCTTGCCTACTCCTGAGTCGCAGTATCTATAAAGTATGGAATAGTCCATTATTATTATTATGGGTAAGATCCCATAACATATATATAAAATCAGTTCACCCCTAGCAAGGTGATAAAGCCATTAAGACACAAGAGTCAACTGGAAGTGAAAGAGAATGAAAAGACTGGAAACAAAGGATAAACTTCTACTCCTGTTCAAAAGACTGGGGAGGGATGTGAACCAGATGCTAGGCAAATCCTTTTACTCCTATAGAGGTAAAAATAAATAGTAAATAACTTTTCAGAGTTTAGGTGGAGACATTAGACGTATAGAGTTGAAGTAGATTTTAGAAGTACCAGGAAACAAGGGATGAACATCTACTCCTGTTCAAAAGACTAGGGAGAAATGTGAATTGGATGATAGTTGAGATACGTCGACATACAGTCTCGACGTCTGTAGAATTCTCTGCTTTGCCAGAGAGGAACCGGGACGAAGCTTTGCCGAAAGGCAAGGTTTCGTCTGGGGAGGTAGACAGGCCCTGAACCCGTCTAGGCGGGTTCAAAGGGTATATTTTTGGCTGAGCCTACGGGCTCGGAGAAACCCACTTTAAACTCGGCCTTGTGCCACACATATTCCTCGTGGGTGGGATATTAAATACCGATGATAGGCATACATATATATATATATATATATATATATATATATATATGGTAAGGTTTCTTGTTCAATCCAGGTATCTACCAATAATTGCAAAATTGGTTCTAGCTCTGATCATGTCAAC